TACTTCAACTGTTAAATGAGATAGAAGAATCCCTTGAATTAATGCAAAGTTAATTTGTTTTTAAATGCATTTGTTGTAACTTTCACCATTTACACCTTTAATAACGGAATGTGTGAAATTAGTAATAGTAGAACATTTATAAAAGGTATTTAGTTCAGTTGCACTAATGGTTGTCACTTGCAATATATACCTTCGAATCGGATTAAAAAACTTAAGAGAATATACGTGGGGACTAATTTAAAACAACACAATATGCAGGTTACAATTTTGCTACTTTTTGTTGTGGTTGGGATATTGATGAGATCAATAAGTTTAGAGAGGTACATTGTTGGAGAAGGCTATGGCTGGCGTCCTGCCCCTGATCCTGCTTACTACCAAGATTGGGCTAAAACTGTAAAGCTTAAAGCTGGAGATGAATTAGGTAAAACCCTCACTTCACCTAATCTTTTTTTCATAACAGTGGTGTCCGGGCTCACTAGAAATTTATTTAAGTATTTGAATACGAGCATATTTGGACCTTGAATTTATTGGTGATTGATTATCCACTATGTTTTGTAGAGTTTAGATTCGAAAAACCTGACGATTTGCTGGAGATTGGAAAATTCGACTACTATGCATGCACTTCCAACACTGTTTTCAGGCCGTATAGAGAAAGTCCAGCAACAGCATTCTTACTGGCACCTGGAGAATATTACTTCAAATCCAGCAACAATACCAATTGCATTAATGGCCAGAAACTTTATGTAAATGCAGAAGCTCCAAATGAAGATAATGATAAGATTGACAACAAGAGCTAAAAAGAAAGGTGGAATCATAAGGATTAAGATAAGGATCACTAGCATAGTTTGTTTTAGATCAGACAATAACCAGAAGCAAGCAGATCTAGGAGTTAGAGTCGGTGAGTTCCAATATTTCCAATATTCCACCCTATTCGTTTAGATTGCATCTTAGGGATGTATCCAGTGACATCCCTGAGATTTCTATGCATTTTACTCAAAGTTAGAAGAGACAACTCCTCAAGTCTATCCAGTACATAAATAGCAGCACTGCAAAAGGATTCGGTGGTAGAACAAAGAACCCCATGGTTAACATGGAAGTTTTGAGGATCACTGAGGAGTTGAGAAATTCTTTTAATCCGACTTTGACTGGAATCATCACGGTTATGGAGAATTTTGGGAAGACATTGCTTTATTATCCTTCTCATTTGCCAATTCATTTTCTAAAAAGTAATTGAACCGCCAGTTACTGTCTCCGCAATACAGCATAACCCGTTGTTGTTCATCTTATCAAGCAGGGAATATATGCATCTCAAATTCTCAGCTGAATTAAAGAGCAATATGGCTGGAGCATCAGGGCATGTCCGTTCATCCTTATGCACTCCAAATGCCTT